TGATCGCATGGCAACCACATAGCACTCCAGTCGGGGCCTACTGTAAGCTGTTTAGAGAAAATATTGTGCATTTCGGTGCTGTATTGCAGAGTCATATTAATTGGTTTTTTGGGCGAGGAATACACAACAAGCCCTACAGAGTAAGCACTGGTAGTAAGCACTGGTAGAACATTGTTATTCATGTGCACTACTCTGTACTCTAAGCACAACTTTTTCACTTTACTGTACTATATCTAAAACATGTGCAAAAGTATTTGCTTTGCATTCCATCGCATCGTTTTTGACATATATTTGATGATAGACTTAAACAAAGTATTATTTGCAATAATGAACCAGAAGTGTAATTATGCAGAAATGCCTTTTTTATTCAATCAATATTATATACGATGCCTTTCCCCTTTCCATATCTATATCTTGCTCTCGAGTCACATATTATTTTTATTTCCATTGCTTTCATTTGTTTGAAAAAATATGCACTAAAGTGAGGAAGATATGACAGTAATGACTGTCCTATCATATAAAATATGCATAAATTTAAAGCTCAAGAATGGCACCAAATAATACTTATCACTAATGGTTAATAAAGCAATACTACACTACTATTATACTCCATGTGCTCACAATACTGTATAACTTATTATATTCTCATACTATAGTCATTCCATTCGTTAAACAATCGATAAGTTTTCAAATCGATATTTCATTGAAAGAGTGATTTTGTTTTTTATCACTTTCTTTGTTGCGGACTTTAATTGTGATCACATCTGACACTTGAGACAATTGATAATTACTTCTAACGCTAAGCATCAGTGCATTCAATCAAATTCTGTAGTATTATTCCTGTCCGCAATTATATGAAACTCAATATGAACAGTTTATGAAAGCCATGAATGCATTCAGTATTACTATTACTCTTAAATATTGCTATTGTTTAATATTCCGTCAAATGATTACAAGTGAAGTGCAATCACTAAACAATATGTCTTTAATTGACTGTTAAGTGTTTAAGTTCTCAATGTTTGTATTATTTCATGTCTGTAACTGTAACGTGAATATTGAGATACTAACAGTTGTAATGATATAAACAGTTTATTATTAGAAAAGTTTATTTTGTTTTTAAGAGATAAACCACTTTTTCGGATGAAAATTCATTTAACACTGCTTTAATGATTAGTTGTAAATATTTTTAGAAATAGACCCAATATATGAGAAACCCTTAAGTATATCTCATAAAACGCATCGTTTACTCCATTTTTCATATAATCTGAGTTTAACAGGCAGTGAGATGAACTGGATATTAATTAAATGCCATTTTCTTATTACTGTATTTCATTTATATTATAAAAAGATTTTACCGTACACTACTTTTTAAATTACATAAAAGTTTGATAAAGCTTATTTAAATATTACTGAAATTAACCATTATTAATATTGAACAAGTGTGTATTAAGAAAATGTACATCATATGTTTTTGAAAATAATAATCATCATCATTATAGGCATTTTAATACTTCATTGATTTTATTGATGTACTTATTCTGACCGTTCAAATTGTCTGAAGATGATGACTAAACGATACAAAAGTTGTACTGAGCAAATTGTTGTAAATTAATATGAAATTAGAAAATAATGAATATAATAAATGTTGTCTCTATTAAACATTGATATAATACAGTATCTACTGTAATGTGTTTCATAGCAACTGTCATAATACAGAATAATCAACAATAATATTCATAATACAGACAATTGTGTTTACAACAGACTTGTAGTGTTTACTTACCTTTAATAAGCATACACCTTATAAATAACAATTTTAACAAGATCTTGTTTAAATAAAGCTAAACACCTTTCTTAAATAACAATTGTTTTTATAATTTAATACATTAATTTCTCGTAATGTCTCTGACAGAATAGCCTATACTTTTAAATATAGTAATTTCACATAATTTAATATTATTTATCATATTAAGCATGGATTTAGTTGTGCAGTGAATTCTAATTTTGAATTAATGCTAATTATTTGCTTTTAAATCCTCAAAGTTTTCTATTCACTTATAACCAAATATAGTCATTACCGTACTTTATAATGCACAAATTTGATCTAAACTTTAAATTTAATAATAAGAATTTTTTAGTAAAATATGAATAAATATACAGTATTTCATAATTTTTCTAATCGAAATATAGATAATTTAATATAGAGTATGTTAAAGATTCTTTATTAATTAAATTTTTAGCAACTATTTTATCTTTTGAAATACTTTTAAAGCCTATTAGTGTTGTGTTTAAAATATATGGTCTTTAAATATATTTTATTCATTAGTGGATAATACATCCCCATTGAATATGATATAACATAAGCTATTTCTGTATTATTTATTTTCTATTCATTTATCTTTCAATCAATAAATATATTATACATAAGAAGACATTCATTGAGTACATTGCTATCAATAACCCTCCCCTCCTTTTTGTTATTACTTTTGTAAATATTTGAGGCAATCTCTCTCTCTCTCTCTCTCTCATATCTGCTTATATCTAGGGTTAGGCTCAATCCTAAATTTCGTATAAAATGCAAATTTTGGTTCAATATTTTACATTTTGTATTAATATATTTTTTCATTTCTTCAAAACGTATATCTCTCTCTCTCTCTCTCTCTCTCTCTCTCTCTCATCCCTAGTTTGTCACGAATTGATGCGAACACACAATGAGTTAATGCAGTTATGTTTCAATTGTGGACACAATATTCAACTCAATTGAATGAGAGCTTCAAAGGCCACAACAAATGAATGAAATCTGAAATGTCGGTCCTATTTGTTAGACCATCTCTTATGGTCTCATTTTTCTCGTATTAAATTTCTTTTACTTTTAATAGTAACTACTTTTTCTTATGAGTGTTTGAATTGTGTTTTTGTAATACATTGCCTAAATGTTTGACTAGTTATATGAGAATAGATTTTTATATAAAAAGATGAAATTATAGCACTTTTCTCAATAAATTAATGTCTTTGTTGTTATATTTATCTTATTATACGAGTCATGAATTATTATTTGAAATGAATTGTTTTTTGAAGGTTTTATTAAATTTGATTTTAATGTAAACTGATTATAAGAATTTGGTGTATCCGTATAATATTTCACTGAACTTCAACACAATTGCATTCCGTACGATATATGAAATAAGATTGACACAAATGTTTTCTTTACTTTATGTATCTCTAAGTGAAGAACTAAATTGTTTCCATTGCTTCCTCTTATGATTTTTCACTGAATACACTATTAATCAATTGTAGTAATGAATTACATGCAAACACGCCATTCCTACATAAGTATAGTGGAGTCCAATCGATCCTAATTTCACTCTCATTTGGATATTTGGATTCATACTTTACTTCAGTTGCAAATATTTTATGATTAAATTTGTTTTATGAAGCTATTGTTTTAAATCAATAAATGACACCATCAAAACTTTTATTGAATGCACTATTATTTTTAATAATACGATGTTTATAAATATTGACAAAAGTATGAAACATGTTGTAAACTATATAAAAATATGAAAATCTAATCTTTTTATAATTATATTCTATAGACAGAACTCTCGCAAAATTTGCAAACTTTGTCAGAAAAAGCCAAAAACGCGACAGAATTCATACAAAGATTAAAAGGATTCACAGAAAAAGCAACTGTAAGTATAATTGTTTGAAAAAAGTTATTTGCTATTATAATAAGTAGACAATTTGCTAATCTAATTTGAATATTTACAATTAATTTATGAATTATTTAAAAATAATATACGTTTTGAAGAAATGAAAAAATATATTAATACAAAATGTAAAATATTGAACCAAAATTTGCATTTTATACGAAATTTAGGATTGAGCCTAATGCAAACACGCCATTCCTACATAAGTATAGTGGAGTCCAATCGATCCTAATTTCACTCTCATTTGGATATTTGGATTCATACTTTACTTCAGTTGCAAATATTTTATGATTAAATTTGTTTTATGAATCTATTGTTTTAAATCAATAAATGACACCATCAAAACTTTTATTGAATGCACTATTATTTTTAATAATACGATGTTTATAAATATTGACAAAAGTATTAAACATGTTATAAACTATATAGAAATATGAAAATCTAATCTTTTTATAATTATATTCTATAGACAGAACTCTCGCAAAATCTGCAAACTTTATCAGAAAAAGCCAAAAACGCGACAGAATTCATACAAAGATTAAAAGGATTCACAGAAAAAGCAACTGTAAGTATAATTGTTTGAAAAAAGTTATTTACTATTATAATAAGTAGACAATTTGTTAATCTAATTTGAATTTTTACAATTAATTTATGAATTATTTAAAAATAATATACGTTTTGAAGAAATGAAAAAATATATTAATACAAAATGTAAAATATTGAACCAAAATTTGCATTTTATACGAAATTTAGGATTGAGCCTAACCCTAGATATAAGCAGATATGAAGTAGTGATGTATAAACACATTGTATGGCATAAAATCAAAGAATGTAGAGAAATGTGATTTGTATACATATATAGGGAAAGTCATGATAAGAAGAACTGCTTATTTCCAATTGGGAATTGGGTTCTACTCTCATATTATATGCCATTTTTGCCTCAAGACTAGTGATTGTGTGTTCATTGCATCGCTGATCGCATCCTTTATTCAGTGATAAGAAGCACTCGATTTGAGGAAAGCCTACTATTCTTAGTGCTTAATGTTTACGACACAGAATATTCCCCAAATGTTTTCTGAATAATAATATTAATATAAATAAAATTGATTTAATTTGTATAGAATTCATAAAGTTAACAAATATATTTTCATAATATGAATAGCTTTTGAGAATCGATAATTTTTTATTGCAATAAAGCAATATGAATGAAATTATGTTTTACAGGAAAATAGTTTAAACTTTGAAACGGAGATCTCTTCTCAATGCGATAATTTGATTGCAACCATAAAGACACGAAAACAGCAATTACTGACTTTTGCGCGAAAAGAAAAGGACTATAAATTGCGAATATTGAGAGAACAAGTGATGGCCTGTACCTCCAAATTACAGCAAACCACTGGACTCATCCACTTCTGCATTGAGGCCCTCAAAGATAACGATAACATGAGTTATCTTCAGGTAAAAGCCATTTGCTTTGCAATGAAATGCAATCAAATAAACGTTTTGATGGATTATTTGTTTTATAGATTGGATCGTCTCTAATAAGTCGTGTGTTGAATGTAGAGATGACATGGCATAAGGACATGAACACAGCTCCCTGGGTATCACCAGAGTTTGATCTGACACTCGACTGTCAGCCCGTTCTCATGGCTATTGAACAGTTGAATTTCTCGCAAATGAAACGTAAGCTTCAAATCAACATAATTAGAGTTTCCTTTCAATTAAAACAGAGTATACAGTAGTTGTCTCCCATTCGTACACGTTTTAGGCATTTCTCTCTCAAACACACTTTTATCCAAATATTTATCTAAACACACGAATATTTCTCAGATTGTTAATAATTGCACTCAAATCACATTCATTGCACTCCATCATTGTATTGCCGACTTTGACTTTCATTGAATTGATAGATATTATTGATTTTATTTAATAGAATTATGAAGTATAACTGATTTAAAAGGACATTTATATTTTATTCAAAAATAGTCATTTTTGGAGACATTTATTATCTCACATTTTGTTTTATTTCCACGTCTATTTCATTGATTTCATGTATTTGTTTAAATCTATTTAATTCAAAATATTATCATTGCTGTAAACATTTGTTCATAGACTGAAAATTTATTTTTATTTAATTTGATTTATTAGATAAAAGTAAATTAGTTTAGTTTCAGTGAAACGGTTCACTGCTTTTCGTTAAATCCATTGAATGTTTCATTGAAAACAACATCTCATCAATTAGTTGTAAGATTTATAATCCATTTAATTTATTCACTTATGGTTTCACTCAAAATTATATTTAATTTGTTTACTATATGTTAATATTTTGTATACACTATAGAGTCTTACAGTGCATACTGTTTGTAAATATAATCAGTATAACAATACATAATATTATATCATTCATTATATCACATAAATTATTTAGTATGAAACTTAATGATGTAATCCAATAAGTGTTATACTGTATAACTGTATAATGATTCAAATGAAATTATTTTCAATTGATTGTATGATGCAGTAAATGGTCTCATCTCTAAATAGTCTTCTTTGGAAGTTCTTTACTCCGGATTTACTCATAGACTCAAGAGTTAGTGCTTAGACTTAAGATGTATTACTTATTCACTTCTCTGTCATATTAGTGATAATCCTTTGGTTTTACTTGCGAATAGACGTAAACTTCATGATAGAGAAGACGATTAGTTGTGTCAACCGTTGCCTCAGAGTTAACTCTATTTGATATTTATTATAAATCTATAACTCTATGCAATTCCAGTGTACAGTATATTAGAGTTACATTGAGTGTCCACTCGAATGTTACTTTACTGCACAACACATTACTTTCTTTACTCCATTTGTTTGAACGACAAATAAAGCGAAAAAATAAAACCAGAAGTGTTTCACATTTTCAGTACACAAACAATGGCTTTACGCTTCCGATAGTGATTCAGATTAATCATTTAATCATATGTTTAGTTATAGATAATAACAGGTTCAAGCAAAATACGCCAAAACTCAAGCAATAAAATATGCATTTAATCAGAGATATGCAAAGGGGAGGGCATTTCATAACACGATTTTGAATAAAATAATACTAGTAATTAATGTATTGAACTTTTAATATAAGTTTTCCCCGTTTTTATCATAGTATTGAATAACGAACTTTTTATATGAGATATCTTTTTAATGTTTTTATTTTAGTGAATTTGAAAATTTTGTGGTTTTATTCATAAGCAAGACTATGATGATTAATGAATAAATTAAAATTTTAAAAACGGACATACAGTACAGTATTGTATATTATTTAAGAAAAAGGACGACTGAACCAAAACACCTTTCATTTAATGAATACCATTCATGGATTTGCGTTCAGACAATAGGGCACGCATTGGGCACAACACAGGCATAACACACATACATATAATTAAAGTCCGATCATTAGCGCTACCACTGATGAACAGCAGGTGTTCACAGTTATGCCATACAATCGCTAATGGTTTGAATGATAGTTAATATTAGTATTCGACACCATCTTTACTGACCATTACTTTCTAAAGAGAATTAATGATTAAAACTGATTATATAATAATAATCTGGAATTTAGTCAATGTTTCTATTATTTGAGCGCATTTTCCAATAAAACCATATATCACTGGGAATGAAGTTTTATTTTTTAAACATTAATATAATTAGATCTCAAATATTAATGACTCTGTTTTTAGAAATTATATACTATTTATTACATATGAAATATCTTTATTATATTAACAACTTTTCTCCATTACGGACAGCACCGGGACCTCCAATACTAATCCCAGACGAGTGTTTGTCAGAAAACAACGGCATAACAGTGGCCTGGCAGCCACACCCGTCCAGTTTTGTCGAGGCATTCATCCTCGAACTCGATGACGGAAATAACGGCGCTTTCAGAGTAAGTCTTGGTTTAGATTTGGGTGAAAGCTATTGAAAACTCGGATTTGTTTTGAATAACTGAAACGATTTAAGGAATAAGTCATTTAGTTGTGAATCCATTTTTCTATTATCTTTGGCAAAGTGGAAGACTTAATGTCCCGAGAGATTGAACCGATGCTAACATTGATTTTGTTTTTGCATTTAAATAAAAGGAGAAAAGTGTGGATAAAGTTGTGCACAGAAGAGGCTAATAGAGCCGGCATTAGAGCACAACTGCTGACTACTGTGTTGTACAGTAGGGCTGATGCGAGCCTTCATTGGCATCAATATGTTTGATATGTTTGAGCACAACATCCATAGAGTGACGCATCCATTGAAAGGCACCAAATAGTGGATGAATATGAGTCACCTCTGAAAGCAAGCAGTGTTTAGTGATGTCAATACGAATGCCATTCCTCAGTGCTTTTTATTATGTTTAGGCGCCAGTAGTTTACAGCAGTCCTCCTCCAATTCACAACTGATACTTCCCGTGTGTTATGAGAGTATGAGTGTGTCTTTCAGTCATTATGATTACAGCCACTGCTAGACTTCGCACCCATTCAGAGCTCGTTCCCCACAATATGATGAACACAAATGTTTTGAAACTTATTGTGTTTCACATTCATATAGCAGTTTAGATGCGATAAAGCCATATATAGTATATAAGTTTTGCTGAGTTATTAAAATTAAAATTAGACGAGAAGTGAATATATTTGGCATCCATTACGACACGCCGTTTGTTTGATTTAAAATTCAAATGCGTTGACATTCAGGAGATAAGACATCCAAGAGATTAGGTTTCGATTGTATTCCTTTGGGACGTATTTCTTTACGCCACACATAACAACCCAATCCAACAGATCTAACAGATCCTACTTTTTCCCCATACCATCCATTCTCATAACACAAAACTGCATTAATTCTAATAAAAACTCAACTCTAGTGTAAAAACTTTAAGGAATTGTCAAATGTTTTCATTTGTCTGTTTTAATGGCTTTCAGTGAAAGGAATTCTTGTGATTCACTCGATATAAAAACTCCTTAAATATTTATTGTCTTCTTTTGAATATAACTAAAATAATTAATTGAATATCAAAATAGAGAATATGTTGAGATAAACTATTTATCTAAGAGTTTTATATAAACTGCAAAATAATGTTTGAAATTAATTTAATTCAAATAAAATGAATTATTTCCAAAAGTTGTGTTTATAGCTAAACAAGTATTAGTAAGTCATGTTCTAAATATACTGTACAGTACGACAATTCAAGCTACTTTGAATAATTTGTGCATTTATTATGCATTATAAAAGCACTTTTCGTTCATTCCTGTGATTAATTCATTCCTTATGATTGACTAACACTTTGCTGGGAAAGAAATTTTAATGAAATTTGATTAAATCATATAAATATCTTGATTTCAAGAAACAAAAGGAAAAAATATGAGTTTAATTAATTAGAGAAGTCATAAGTTTTCTAAATATTGACTTTGCTCTTCATTTCATACATTACTTTAAATTATAAATGTTTTTGTCATAATTGAATGCCCACTAAAATAACAAGAGATGTGTTATATTTGTTTTAATAGGAAGTATATTGTGGCAAAGAAACCATTTGTACAGTGGATGGCCTGCACTTCAACTCTATATATCGACTTCGAGTAAAGGCTTACAATAGTAGCGGAGAGGGAGCCTATAGTGATGTGATATCTCTGCAGACTGCAGATGGTAAGCATACATGTATTGGCCTGATCTGTACTCATGCATTCATTGCACCATTAGTTGCCTGGTTTGCATTGGATCCACTGTCAGCCCATTCCGATATTACCATCACAAACGAAAACCAGACCCTCACATGTGATAGTTATGAGCATAGAGTGGTTTTGGCAAATATGGCATTTTCTCGAGGAGTTCACTACTGGGAGATTAATGTCGATAGATATCTGAACAATGCAGACATTGCTTTGGGTATCGCTCGGGCAGACGTCTCCAAAGACAAAATGCTCGGTATATTCAACCACTATATTGCACATTATATCCTAGCACAGTATCATTGTCCAATCATATTCTCTATACTTTATACATATAAAATTTATCAACACTTTTCATACAATGAATTTAATGTAAACGAAATGATAATTGCAGGGAAGGACTCACTGGGTTGGAGTATGTATATCGACAATAAGAGGTCGTGGTTTCTGCACTCCGACAGACACGACCGTAGATGTGATGGTGGTATCGATAAGTGCAGTGTTATCGGAGTACTGCTTAATATGGAAAGGCATGAGTTGTCGTTTTACGTGAACGATGAGCACCAGTCAGGGATTGCTTTCAAAGAACTCAAAGGCGTCTTTTACCCGGCATTCAGTGTCAACCGAAACGTAACCATAACCGTCACCACTGGTATTGAGCCGCCCCTCAGTAGCGGATCCAACAGCGCTCTCGAGAGCGAATCCAGTGATGGCGAGATCAAGAAACCCACGAAATAATTATTGTTTTAAGTTTCATCATATTTTATACGACAACTAGTCTTAACAGAAGTTTGAGTTTTTAATCGATTCTATTGTCTAAAACTTTATCTTAAATGTCAGAAACATATCATATCATATGTTTGCAATTATATACTGTACACACAGTATAATGTAAAAATAACTTATATAATATTTTAAAATCAAAACTTATACAAATGATCGATATACATGTCTTTTTAAAAGTAAATTTTGTAAGTATTTAAAACTTTTAGACCAAATTATTTCTTGTATAAATTTAAAAATGACAAATACTTTATTTAATATAAAATTGAATTAATTTATGTAATACAATATTATGTAATAGATTAAGTTTATCTCATCTCAGGTGCTTTTTATTGTATGGGTTTGTAATTTATATAAGTTTTTATTACATTTAATCTATAAAAATATGACACTTTTAGAGATAATTTAGATATTTATAGCTTTCGTTTTTCTTATAATTATGGAGTAATATATTCACAATTTTCTACACAAATGACTGTTAATAAGAATTTTTATCAGACAAAAGCCGTCAGTAATTCATACAAGACTTATGAGAGATTTTCTGTTAGATTTCTTCCAACAAATAGTCAACAAATATTACCACAATAATTGTATTTAAGTCTATGGCTCAATATCTTTAATCAATAATAATTTTAAGTCATATAAGTGTTCAATTAGTATTATTCAAATTAAGTAATATTTTTTAAAATTAGATTGATTTTATTCTGACCTTATTATTAAATAAGTTTGTCGTTAAAAATGAATTAATTGTTTTTATAATAACAAGATTTAATTAAAATAAGTTGGAAATTATGTTTTATTGAGAGCAGATATTAAAGAATTGAAATTGAAGGAAATTTATAATCAAGATTAAAATCTATTCGATGCTTATTGATTAAAATATCTGAAACACCATTGTATTGAATTTAACAGTATTTATTACTTCTTAATAATGAACTTTTATAACTAGTCATTAGGTAATACATTGCAAAAGTGGTCAAAACCAACATAAGATTATAACATATAAATAATGGAAAACTAAGGGAAACTGAACTCAATTTACATAAGGCTTTACATTATATTTTAGACTAACTTTAAAATTCAAGATATTCATTTCATAAAAAATATTTGCATTAAAAATCTTACAAATATTTTGACTAATTGAACAATTAATGTCAAACATAATTAAGTTCTCAAATTAAATCTTAAAGGTATTTACATACAAAATATTTTAGATAATTATTAATTTTGATATTATTTTCACTTTTAACTATAATTTGTTAAAATTATTATTGAGATGTAATTAATTTTAAATTGTTTATTTCTAATAATATTGTATAATAATTGTAAATAATATATATTTAAATTAACAATATGACCTAGAACAGTACAGTATATAATAGCTGTCAATAACGTGCCTCTTGTGTTGATGTGATGTATAACTTATAATGCGCTCAATATTTGTCTCAAATTCATATCATTATGTCATTCATTGTAATCCTTTCAATAGATTTAATAATCTTTTGAACGCTTTATAAAACTTATTGTAAACTATTCCTCAATAATAATGACTTGAATATTAAATCTCATTTAAATCTCATATATTGTTCACTACTTTATTACAACTCTCACGATGTGTTGCTTTAGTGATGAGAAGCATCTAATTGGCCATGGTATATCTGGTATATCTACAAGGTGAAATATACGTTACTTGCTAAATAGTGCCCTGGTGAATTGCCATGAAATATTTGACCGGTATTCACAGTGTGGTTGTGTGGCTGTGAGACAGAGGGCGGTGTTGTATTGGTGGCACTGCAATGACTGCAATGAGTGTTTGATGCTCTGACTGCCGCAGTGTTGCCATCGTATGCATAGACATAGAGTTGGCGTCTGTTGTGACCAAAAGAGCGCACTTTTACACGACGTCTGGCGCTCTGTTGTCTCACTTGACTGTCACCTCATTGTCACTCATTTGATCCAATTATGGCGAAGGTATGTCTCTTATTGATTCACGAGACCATATCATAGATAACTAATGGTTTGATGCAATGATAGGCACATATCGTGAATATAGTGGTGTTGGGTAAGTGTTGTCGTGTCTGTCCATCACTGGTCTGTCACTAATGCGTGGATGTGTTGCATGTCTTGCAGACAATCCGTCGGATTTCTTCAATCCATTCCAGTTTGAGATCACATTTGAATGCATTGAAGACCTGAAGGAGGACTTGGAGTGGAAGATAATATACGTGGGATCGGCTGAGAGCGAAGAACACGACCAAACACTGGACACCGTATTCGTAGGTCCGGTGCCGGAGGGACGGCATATGTTTGTGTTTCAGGCCGACCCGCCCGACCCCGCAAAGATCCCGGTGGCCGACGCCGTGGGGGTCACTGTCGTGCTGTTGACCTGTTCTTACAGGGGAAAGGAGTTCATCAGAGTTGGCTATTATGTGAACAACGAGTACATGGATGCAGAGCTCCGGGAGAACCCTCCGACGGCCCCTCTCTTTGATAAGCTTCAGCGCAATGTGTTGGCCACCAGTCCTCGTGTCACCCGATTTAAGATCGATTGGGGGGACAATCCGTGCGACAACTCGGAGCCCATCGAAGCAAACAGTGAGCCTATGGTCACCGAAAGCAACGGTCATAACACCAGTGGCAATGGCAATGCCGTCCACTCAGACTCCAGTCAACAACACGTGTCCGATGATAGTGTCGGTCCACTCAAACCAGTGCTCTGTCAGGACAGTAACCACAGTCAGAGTATGGAAGTGGCCTAACCTTCTGCTTCTGCCCCCACCCTAACCCCAATCATACCGTCCCTCTAGTAGTTGTATTTATATTGCAATTAATGTTCAATTTTAATACCCCTTCCCTCCCTTCACTTCATATTTATTTGTTTTTATTACAGTTATAATTAATCTCTGATTGCTTTCAATTGATTTCATTGTCTATTGTAAAACATTTTTGATAACAATTTTAAATTTTGTAAATTTCAACAAATTATAGGAAAAGGTTCTCATTATTAAAAACAACTCAATTAAAGTGTATTAAAGTGTATCCAATTTTTGCATTTATTAAAACCCAATGTCTTTGTGATTCACATTTCAAATGAGTCACTGTATGCATGTTATGAATGGCATCAATGCCTATACACTGGACTCCAAGAGTCCATCGGTATACGGGACGGGCGTATAGTTGTGGAGTCAAAGAGATTAGAGAATATGTTTACTATAATACTGATAATTATATGAATAGCATTTACTCGATTGAAATAATAGTTTTCAGGCAACTAATATATCTGATTAATAAATGCCACTTTGGAGACTAGTAACCAAACTTATCAATAGCACAGTACAAGTCAGTACATACGGTAGCGTACAGTAGAGAGTGGAAAGGGAGAGAAAAAGAGGGAGACTTAGAGGGATACAGAGGAGGACCGATAGTGTCATACACTCATAGCTCGCATGCATTGACTCAATGAATGAATGAATCGATGGGAGACTCACTGGTATTGAAGGCATGAAAACAAAAATAAATGTATTTCTCGTTCAATGAATCAGTGAATAGAGTGTTGTGTTTGTGCTGTCATTGCATTGCCATCAGTGCTCTCACCGTAACATCACTTCAACTGATCTCTGTTTGAGTCCATTCTTGTGTCACTTAGTTGTGAGATAATGGACTCATTTGATTACATTATTTGGTTCACTAATTGACAACATTATGGCAATTATCTGATTATTTGATCCCCCAATCAAGTGATGCCAAAGTGCAGCAAATATGCAAAACCGTGGCATTTGTGGTCTGTTTTTGATGTTAATTACTATTTATTATATAATTATAGCTATTATTAGATTCACTAATAAATCTCTATTTCATTATAAATACAATATTTTATTATTAATCAAATGACATGACACTTAAATTGATTCTACCGGTGCCCATACCAATTAGACAATAAATGGTTAGGTTATACTATCCACTATTAATACTATCCAGGTTATTAATCATAAATGTATGAAACGGGAGGGTATTATGGGCGCCGGTGTCTCGGACTATATTACTGTTAGTAAACTACAAACTCATTGTTCATTTGGATTGTCATTGAAATGACAGCATATCTAGTGGTGGCACTCGTGGTGATCGGTTGGGTGGCCAGTGATGACACCCTATACTTCTCACCCAAACCTCAGGACAAGAGTGTGATTGAAGGCAAACCAGTGGTGATTGAGTGCGGAATCGGCGACAATGGGAGCGGTCATCACATTACCATCCATTGGAGTCATGACAACAAGCATGTGGTGTATGACTCGCGAAGGTTCCAGAAGAATGGCAATCTGGTCATCACTTATGCGGATCACACCAAAGACTCGGGTCATTACACTTGTGTTGCCACTAATGACACTTCCGGTCATTCCATACAACAAACCATTGATTTGAAAGTTTTTTGTGAGTTTTCATACTTTACGTTATATTCCTATTGTTTATACAGTATATTTATAAAAGGTGCTATAGTTTGAATCCAGTTAATTTTGAATACAAAATATAAAGATACAAGTTTATGCTTGCGTTATATGATTTACAGTAAGTTATATATAATTAATATAATGATGATTTTGTTATAAAACGATTACTATAAAATTATAATGCTACCGGTGGTTGCTATCGTATTAGATTTGCTATTTACGAGTACTATAAGTCTTACTTGTTAGTAATTGTAATACAGTATGGCATTTTAAGAATAATGGTAATACTGTAGAATCTAGGTAATAGAGTGTAGATAAAGTATTAAAATTGAAAAGCATATTTACATACAACTAATTTTTACTTTACTCTGATTGATGTCTGGTTTATATCAAACATACTTCTAGTTGTACAGTTGGTTGTACATACTTTACTATACAGAATCTGTATTCGCAAATATTAAATATTTTAAAACTGATTTTTAAAATAGTGAAGAATATTGTGAATTGATTTGTGAGCACTTGTGCCTAATTGGATGTCAGGCTACTTATTGAATAAATTAAAAGAATTTGAATTAATAATATTAATGAGTGCTAATAAGTTATGTAATGTTTTGTCGGTTATCTGAAAATACCAGATGTTTTAGTTTTAGTGAACATTATTTGCTTTTCTATGTTTGCATTGGTTTGCAACTTGCATGTGAAAAGCATTGCATTGATTACTGCATACGGTATGACTTTCACAGACTTTTCTATATTATGTGAGATAATCGACAAATTAAGTTATACTTCGGTCGCAGTTCTTTGACTCGATATCTAAATAATCAGTAGTCCTTGTTTGCCATCATTTAATTTATTTGTCTTTCATTTGTTTCACACAATCACTGCTTCTCTAATGGAGTAAAACGTGAAATGTGTTCAACTTCTTCTCTAAACTCAAAACCGCTTTTATTTATCAATTCAAAGAACTCTTAGTTTGTCTATCAATCAGTCATCCCTTATAAACACACAAAATTGCATCTTATAATCAATTAGTGTTATGATTAGGTCGATCCACTCCCACACATCCCTTCCCTCTCATCATTTTTAACTTATAAATACAGTATATCTGGGTTGCTATCAATTTTAACTCTATTTCCTATAATTATGTTAAATGAATTCAAGATTAATTAGCTCTACATTTGATAAATTATAAGTTTAAATGTCTTTAATATAAACGTTTCTGATTTAAACAAACTTTGCCACTACGTACCCGTCCCCTACGAGTGGGTTCCTACTGAATTCACCTAAACGAGACTTAATTTTCATATCTAAATATTATTAAGATAATGAATTAATTTTAATATTATATAAAATTACAACCATTGAAGGGTTGAGCGATTTCGTAAAAGTCAGCCAACACTTGGAGCCCAAAAGTGAGAGTAATCCAGAGAATAATGAGATAATAGTGAGCTGTGATGCTGTGGGCAATCCTGAGCCCAGAATTGAATTCCTATACAATTCGGTGAAAATCCATCGAAACTCAAAGCTCTCTGTTCGTCATAAACGCCTTCACATATCCAACGAATCGGCCGCTAATAATGGCATCTATTCGTGTCGGGCCAGCAATAGTGCCGCTAAAGTAGACAGCAATGAGAACTTTGAACTCAATATTAAAGGTAAGAATTTGTTATGCAATAATTTATTACAGTATTATAACAATTTGATGTATTTATTGATACAGTATGTGTCATAATTATCGATAATTTCTGTATTAAATTTTTAAATTCATTTTATAGCCGAAGGTGTTCCACATTTGACAGAAATATCCAAATATTCAGTAATTAAAGTGAACGAAAGTATTGAACTGAAGTGTGTGTTCACGAACGCGATATCCATTGAATGGTATGCACCCAACAAAGATGTGCCAATTGTGAACAACTCGAGGTTTATATTTGTATTTCTTAATTGAGATGTAATTGATAATATATAATAATGTAATTTATTTTGAACAGAATTACTGTTTACCCGAACGGTTCACTTGTAATAAATCGAGTCGAGAAAGAAGACAACGGCTATTATAAATGTGTTGCCCTTCCCATTGATAGCAAGGATTCTGACAAAACTCAGACATTTTCCACTCGCCTTCAAATTGCCTGTAAATATGAATTTATAAAATTCTTTTCATTGTGTTCTCATAAGTAATTTCATTCAGATTTAGAAGATTTCGATGCAAATGATTTGAGCTCAACATATGCGCCAAACCTTAATTTACATGTCGTGCCAAAGAATAGTCCAAAAATTGAATTCTTTTGTATTCCTCCAAACGGTGTCCCAAAGCCCAGGCTGTGGTGGGAAGACCCGAACGGCAATATTGTCTCCGATTCCGGAAGGATTCGCGTCGACGAGAATACACTGATTATTGAGGGACCCGTCAAGAAGAGCGATGGCGGCAAATACTATTGTGTGGCACACAATATGGCCGCGAAGACCAGCAAATTCTTCGACATATACGTGTCAACCCCTCCCACACTCACTGATCCCAACAGTATTATTGCTGATGAGGACGGACTGGCAGTTATGCACTGCTTATATACAGCCAGTCCTCATACAACTGTCAAATGGATTAAAAATGGGAAATATATACAACATTCTGTCTCCCATTTGGTCTTAAATAATGGAAGTCTTATCATAAAAAGTGCCCAAATTATGGATTCTGGTCAATATGTGTGCGAAATTAATTCAACCGGCTTTCAAATAATTCGCTCGAAAACTGCAAACCTTACGATTAGAGAGAAATTGAAATTCTTTAATATCCCCACCAATAAGAATCTGGAACTCCATTCTAAGTCTAAACTGATCTGTAAAGCCAGAGGCGCCCCAATTCTGACCGTCAAATGGGTTAAATGGACTAAAGAGGGCCAACTGAAGGGCTTGGAGTGGCCCAACCATATACACGACTCAAACGGCACACTTGAATTCAATGTCGTTAATAGGTATGCTATTATGTTTTGTGTCGTATTATTATAAATGTTATAAAAACTTATTGATTAAATTAACTAATGTTTTGGTGGACAGAGAGGACGCTGGTAACTATACTTGTATTGCCACCAATTCTCAAGGAATTATCAATACAAGCATTGAGGGTAATTATGATTTTTATTATCACTGAATATATTGTTAATTAAAATATGTGGTAATTTTTTGGGAATAGTGTGGGTAACAGTTAAACCCAAGTTCACTGTTGAACCTAAACCCCAATCCATTGTTGAAGGCGTTTCTGTACTGTTAGACTGTAAGGCAGAGGGTAAGAGATGTTATTTTTGCTATTAATACATAACTAAATGTCTCATATTCTTACAATATATCACTATAAATCAAATCAATTTGAAAATGACTTAATGATAAGCTTATTATATATTCAATTCAATAAGTAATTATCACTATAGAGTACATTGTTTTATAATTTCCAATTAAATTGCACTCCAGTAATAAATATAATTATCGGAATAAAGTTAGTCATGATTATATAAAATGTGTTTTAAATTTACATTTTTATCAGTATTTAAGCAATGGAATTTATTTTAAATTTAATTTTAAGCAATTATTATATTAATAGTTTGAAGCTCTTTACAAAAGTATAGCTAATAGTATAGAATTTGATTGAATTTAATGCATAATACATTGTAAATGATTGCAAACGAGTCGTGAGTATAGCCTTTGGCGTAGCTCTCTGTTTGAATATGAAATCAATTTTCTATACTATACTTCATTGCATTCAAGAATAAAAAGACATTAATCTAAAGTTAATGTTTAGGTGAACCCAATCCCAGTTTACAATGGGATAAGGATAATGTGCTCAATGGCTTTGATGAACAGAGATTTTCAGTTATGGCTAACGGCTCTCTCCTTATAAATGATGTTCATATTGAAGGCGAGTCTTAATTATAATAATTTTGGAGTTTTTATTGAATAATATTTTTGTAGATTCAGGAAAATATGGTTGCACAGCAGGCAATTCCGGGGGTTTCAGCCGCACTGAAGTCACTCTTACTGTTAAGAGCGCCGATACCTATAATTTGAATCATTTAGGGATGAATTCCGAAGAGAATAAGAATAAGATGACGAGAACTGTTACCATAACGTTAGGCGCTGCGGCTCTCTATATGTTTCTGGTTATGGCTCTTATGATATACTGTCGGTACAGGAGAGCCAAACGAAAGGCATCGGCAGTCACTCGAACGGCTCATAACAATAAGTCAGAGAACGGCGACTTAGAGCTCAAAGATCGCGCCAAGACTGCCGACAACCCCGAACAGCACCGACTCCTTACGGACGACAAGCAAAAGCAAACGGCAAATAAGATCCGAAGTGAGGGCGACCTCCACTCGCAGACGTCCAGTAATCACAGCTCCAAACGAAGTAAATCTCCGTTTGACAAACTAGAGATGGCTCGACACGACCTCCAAAAGTTATGTCTCCTTGGTCATGGAGAGTTCGGTGAAGTATTCTTAGCCAAAGCTAACATCAATAACAATAAAAGCATAGAAAACGGACAAATCGTTTTGGTTAAGGTTTTGCAGTCAAAGGACGAGAATATAGTGTTTGACTATAAGAGGGAAATCGAAATGTTTCACAAACTAAGTAACGATAGAATCGTCAAAGTGATCGGTCTTTGCAGATCGGATTCGGATCCATTTTGGTTTGTATTGGAATACAGCGATTGGGGAGATCTGAAGCAATTTCTTTTGGCCACAAGAGATGATAAGAGCCGTCGGGGCGGCCCTAAGCCTACACCACTCACATTACCACAAATGATTGGAATCGGACAACAAATTGCTTTCGCAATGGAGTACTTAACTAATAACCGATTCGTTCACAAAGACTTGGCCACAAGAAACTGCTTGATTACCTCTAAACTTGACATTAAACTTAGCAGTACTTCGCTGTCGAAAGATACCTATTCTGCAGAGTAAGTCAATGAATAATATTTGTTATTGTTTTATAAGATGACAACTAAATTGTGATTACAATGACAGATATTTCAATTACCAAAACCGTGATCTCCCGATCCGATGGGCGCCACACGAGGCGGTCATAGAGGACGAGTGGTCGGCCAAAAGTGATGTCTATTCGTTCGCAGTCATCGTTTGGGAGATTTGCTTTCAGGCAGAACTTCCATTCTCTCAGATGAATGATTTAAGTGTTATTCGTTTGCTTGAACAAAATGAACTCAAACTCGAGGCGCCCGAAGCCATACCAAACATTTTGAGGGATCTATTGATGAAATGTTGGAGTACTAGTCCTAAAGACAGACCAACTTTTACAGATATTTATCATACATTAAACAAAGCACTTCATAATATTAATAAATAATTTTCAGCTAAAATCTAATATTATTTTTACAATATTTCAATATTTGCAACGAATTCTGAATATTATCTCAATTCTAACGATTAAAAAATCCGTCTAAAATAGGAATTTTAAACCAAAAATACAGTATTAGGAATATTATGAAATTTATAAATTCATGTATTCTTTACAATATTTGCAACTATTTTCCATGTTTTATTATCAAGAAACACATTTTACACAATTTTTTATGATTCATACTTTGATTTTTTCATAAAAGTATTTAACAAATCAATCTTTTCTACGAAGAAAAGTATTATCAAATATTTATATTAACTATACAAACAATCACTTAATCATTGCATTCAATTCATTGTAATTTAAGTTTAATGAAACATTTATTCATCAAATGATATATATATTATAAATGACTTATTAATAATAAGTTATCATTTTCTAGTCCTTTGCTTTTTGTATCAATCATTCAAATGATGACTATTTTTGAGTTGATTTTATGTATAAATGATAATCCGATGTAATTTATATGAAAACAAATTGAAATACATTTGAAATAAAACGATGAGAATATTTGTCTCGAATTCTGCTTTCATATGACTTAATAGAGAAAATATTTGAACTTTTCTAACCATTTTAGAGGGCATTCATATGATGAGTATATTTGCCAATAAGTGAAGCTATGGTTTGAGTGAATGCCAACTGAGTTGTTGTGGGTTAGGCATCCCTCTACCAGCCCTATCACTGCAGCAAATGGCGAGAGTCTATGGCATTAAAGCTATATTCCTATTGTAGTGAATGTAAGCATCGCTTCCAATGAGTCCGACAATCGGTTGAAATTCAAGTTTTTATTTTATACACCGTATGAACGCTATGTTAGCGTAACTCAAGAGTTCATTCACTCATCTGATTCACTGACGAGTGGTTCAGGTCTTAGCCCTTAACGTAAGACAACTCCGACTCTACTCATCGTTTACGCATATTTTACGCCAGAATCATAGCATAGGCACAGAATTGAGTGCTGCAGAGTTGAAGTGTCAAACTCATCCAATTGATCCCACTTACCACACATCACACCGACTTAACAATACTCTTAAGCATTGTGTTTTGCCTCTGATTAACGCTTATCTAAACCAACAAAAAAGGTAAGACTTATCGATAATTCTCTATATGTTAGACAACTACTCATATCTAATACCTAACCATTTGATGAACAAATCTACTGTATTTGCTATTTGATATGATATTCAAAACTTGTTTACTGATTATATTATTTTGTCACTCAAAATATATTCAATTATATCACAAATTGTTTGCTAAACTCATTGTTTAAATACCAGTTCTTCTCAACTGTTCTCTATTTTAAGGATTCAGTTCATTATTATCGTGAAATAGAGGTCAAGAAAATCAAAGTTCTCGTAGTGTTGTACTCATTACTGTACATCACTGGGTATTTGTAAACATTCATATTTTTCTATATTGCTCATGCATATTGAGAATAATTAATTTGTAAATAATTTTTATTTATTTATTCAGTAATTCGTATTTTGTTGACTATTTTTTTAGAGCAGAAAACAATATTTGTTTATATTTAATTACTATAAATTTAGCTCAAATCTTAAGATATAGTATTGATTAGAATATAGATATGATAGCAATATAACTTATTAATTCTACAAAACTAATGTATAATCATAATTTAGATGAATTTTGGTTTTTGATAAAACTTTGACTGAATGTGTTTCCTGAGAGGAAATCACTTCAATTAATACACTTATGTATGCGGTTATCGTATAATAAAATAATTATTAGAAATAATGAACTGATCAAGATATTCAGTTATTGATATATTCAATGATTAATTATTTTATATGAATCTCTATTTTGTTAAATAAAGATATTTTCCCAATTCATTAAATCAGTTTAATTTGAATTACAAAAATAATTCATAAGTTGAGATACAAATCGATTCAAATTGCTCGTCATATTTGAAATACAATATCAATGGATATCTGAGTTAAACTTAATTTCATTTCCTTTGAGATGTTATCAAATATTGTGATAAAGAATTCATAATATTTTTAGAATATATTACTCTATTATATAAGCAAAGCATTGAGTGATTCAGACATAACTTTTATAACCCTTTCGTCTGTTATATTAATAAAATAAATATATTCTTCATTGCAATCGATTCGGTCATTGAATCGCATCGAAGAGCTTTCAAATCAAAAGATTATTTGTGAAAATCTCAATTCATTGCTCTCAAGGAAATATTTTTAACTTAAAAATAAGTTTTGGTTAAAAAAACAATAAAATATTTTTGTTGGTCTATAACAACAAATTTTAGGGCTTAAAAAGTCTTGTAATTTAAGTGTTTTTGTAAATAAAAATTAAGGGCTGACTCCCTAAAGATTATTAGTAATAATTGTCACAACAATTGAGTTATGTTTAAAAGTTATTTTTATAAACACAAGTCTGTTATCCCTTTAAATACTAATACATTTTTTAAATGCTTTAATTTTTATTAGTGATTACATGCAGTGAAAGTAGATTTGGCTTTCAATGGATACAAACAATTGTTTGTTTCGGTTAAGTGTTTAGTATATTATTGTAATGATTAGCGAAACCACGAGAGCGTGAATTTCTTTTATGTATTGAATAGCTTTTTGAACGAAATTAGTTTTGTGTGAATAGTATTATACAATATTATACTTAAAAGCCATATAAAGTTTATGAGAGTCGAGTTGAGAGCAACCAATGGGTTATTATGTATGTATGGTAGGGAACGGCAGCACATCATCTGCAGGTGTATTGTCTGTCACTGTTAAGCATTCAGTGTATGTGAGTCAACCCTATTTGGTATTTAATCTTTAAATTATAGCGATTGCAGGCATTAATGCGTTGAACCCTATCTCTACCTGAGCTGTGGTCATAGACTTGCTGCTAATAGTTGGCTGCATAGACAGTATACCTGTTGTGTTGTATTAGGTAACTGAAGGGACAGACAGGTGCAGCACCTTTCCAGCAGGTGTTTGTCTATTTCGTATTTGTTTCCATTGGCATTCAATTGGTTTGAATACTTAAGATATAATAGTTTTAGAGATATTGAGAACACTTTGGATTAAAGCGTTACTCAACTCATAAGACACTGTAATAGTTGTTGCCTTCACTTCACTTATTATGTAAATTAATAGCAAAGCATTGATTGCAAAGTTATGTTAAGTTTGTCTAATAAGTCGATCGCAACATATATTTCCACATCAGATCCATCGCCAACAGCCGTACCTCTAATGGAGTACAGTATACCTACCAGTGCTTCACAGTTCGCATCCAAGAGAGCATCGCATGCAGTGATGCCTAAAGCCAACAGTCATAAGGAGGCGCCGCCTAAAGGATTACTTCACGTGAACTTCAGCACTGAAAAGAGCGAACTGTCCGACAGGAAGACGAAATACTTGACCGCAAAGTACGGACAGCACCAGATGAACCTCATTAAGAAACGATTACGGGTCGAGACCTGGATGTATGACCAGCTCCAGACCCTCTACAACATATCCGTGAGTTATCAACATATTGTCTCATCTCATTCATCGCTATTACTAAGTACTACAGTATTAATAGCTAATGAGTGGCATATAATTCATAGAAATTCTTAGTCACTCGCAATCCTTCCCTTAATCTTCTTTCCATATAATTTCCATTAGTTTTCATCACATTTTCGTTAAACAAATAAAGAATAAAATTAATATTCTTTACGATATCTTAACCAAAATTATGAAATTTTTGTATAAATAGTTATAATAAATATTAATATGTACAAGTTAGAACTTTTCAAAAGCTATATACGAAAACTTAAATGAAGTGAATTTGCAAGCATCCCATTCCCCAACCCAATCCCCAATCCTTTAGGCTGATAGGGTATCAATTTATATTTATATTTATATTTTTTAGCGAAGATATTAAACTTAATTTGAATCACTTATTTATCTCATTAAAGATGTTTTAAGCACTCATTAAGTTATCATTAATGGGAGGAACATAATGAGCAAACATTTTATTAAATTCAACTTAAATGTTGTCAAATTTAAACATTAAATTTAACATTTATTTTGAGATAATTTTATCACAAAATCAATGTAATAAATAAGAGATTTATTTGAGGAATATTTGTTATTTATAAATCTTTTTTATCTTAATTTCATTTTTATTTTATTAAGTCTTTACTAATTAATGTCTTTAAGAAGAATTAAATAATTAATGTAAACATAAAACCCATTGTAATTCATTGAATTAAAATAACTTATATATTCATTGAATATAATTTATAATGGATTGAATTTATATTTCCCACTAATGTAAATCATAAATCAAGACATAGTTAAACAAACGAATGTCATAACTTTAATTTACTACTATACTATAGTATAGTAACTATAGATAAGAATATTTATTTTCAACTTCAATAAAGTAATAATTTTGTATTAATACTAAGTTAGTAATACTTGAAGTAACTTTAATTAATAAATAAAATGCTAATATGATTGGCATTACATTTAAAAATGAATACATTATGCAAATGCTATGAATGAATGGGTTAATGAATGTCTGTTTGTATAACAGGACGACTCAAATGACATTGAAATAGATTTGGACGAACTCCTGGATGTGGAGGAAGACTTGGGGCGCAAAGAATGGCTTAGAGTATGTTTTTGAGTCATTTATGAATTTATCGATTAACTAATTAAACGAAATTAATTTCAAAAACAGAGCAAATTAATAGACGCCAAACAGTCCAAAGACATCGTCGAGACGTTTATCGTAGAACTGCTGGAAAAGGCAAAAACTCTCTGAATATGAGCCACATTTACAACCAAACGATAGCTATTGAAATAATTATTAATTTATACAAATCTTTTTATTCGTCTATTGAACAAATAATTTAAAGCAAAGCCTCGAATTGGGAATAATGTAATTCTAATTCATATGCAAACATTTCAAAGTTTGACTAAAATTGAGTTCAATTAATACCATCAAATGCAATGGAGATAATAAGCACCGCTAGAATGGATCTCGCGATTTAATTGACAATATTTCAAACGCTTATACAAACAACTAGTCATCCATTTATGCATCATATATGCATTCAGATTGCAATGCTTTTCATTAAACTTAATCACTAATCAATCAATGGTTTAAATTGCAAATATTGTTTAGAAGACAATGACTTGAGTGCCAACTCTTGCGAACAAACTCGACATCATATAAACCAAAGAAAGTATACTTTTGATTAGAAAACCATTTGATTCATTAACTTGTTTGTCCTGTTTATTAATTAACATGTATTTTAGTTAATTAGACTATTTTAGACTGGCTTTAGAGTCGAATACTTTACTAATATCTCATTTACAATACTGTAATTAAAAATGTTTTCATTTAAAAGCTTATTTTCTATGAAATGATATAACGTTACTGTAATTTATAATACACCGTAAGTTTGCCTCCAAATCTGCAAATATAGTCAAACAAATCGAAACAAATGTTATAAAAATTGTTA